CAAGGGAAACATTGAGCATAGAGCGATCTTTTGTTCAACATTTGACCATCTCGGTCGAGCGCATGAAGCGAAATGATTGTGCGTTCGTATTTTTTCGTAGCTCGAACCTAAAAGTAAGGAGCCGAGCGAATTCAAAGCTGTCTGGGGTGTTGACGCCTCAGAAAAATCGTGCAAAAACCTTTCCACTGTCTAGTCTATGTGTTCTCTGGTTGGTTGTATAACATTACATAACGTACATCTTAAGAACTAGTCTCCAAATTTAAAATGTAGATTCATATGTATATTTTAGAATTTCGATGAGTAAAAGACGTATTTCTAATACAAGAGACACATGTTTTGGTAAATGCATGCACTTAAATATTCTTATCACAGTTTAGAGAAAGTCCATCCATAAGAAAACTTATTAGGCAAATAAATTCCGATAGTAAGTACAAGGATGCGAAGAATTATTCAATTATCAGTTACTGAAAGGGTTCAGGCGATCGTGCCAATGGAAGCCAACTGACCGTTTATTTATTTATGATAATGGAGCCATCATTAGTCTCGCCTACAGCTTTGTTACTTGTTATATCCTGCATTGATGGAAAATATAAATTCGGACTATATTTTATATACCCTGATTTCCCATTTTCAATGGGTTCATCAGGGTATAATGTTTTTTTTTTTTTTTTAAATGTATGAAACAGGCAGAAAGATGCGTGACACAAAGTATATATATTTTTGATCAGGGTGACGAGCGGAGTCGGGTTAGCCCTGTCCGTCCATCTATCCGTATGTATGAACGCGTCGATTTCAGAAGATATAAGAGCTAGAGATTTAAATTTTTGTTTTTTTAATGTCCGTATATAGCGCAGATATCGAGTTTATCATTAAAAATCGATAACTCATCCCGTTATTTTTTATCGATAAACCCCCTTATCGAAAATCAGTTTTAAAATTATTTCTCCTACATCTTTAGAGCTAGAGTCTCAAAATGTACATTCATATGTACTTTATAGAATTTCGATTTTTGTTATAATTCACCCCCACCGCCTCATCCACATATTTGTGTGTGTGTGCGTTATATTGGATTTTGATACACGTACCAATTCTCTTCTTACTTATTCTTGTGATCGCTAATTGAATACTTTAAAATCTAAGGAATCTAATTTAGATTGTAGGTTTCTGTATAGACATATATTATAACCCAGATATCGTATTCATATTCGCAGGCAGAAGATCTCTTCGATGACATACTCCAAAATGATTCCTTTAATTTCGATAAAAACTTTAGTTCGGAGCTGTCTATTAAGCAGGAACCACAAAATTTAACTGATGCAGAAATAAAAGATAGACAGAAAAAGGATAATCATAATATGAGTAAGTTATTTATGAGTAAGTTAAAAATATTTATTTGAAAATAAATATGTCGTTTTCGCGTTCTACAACAGTTGAGCGTCGTCGGCGTTTCAACATAAATGACCGAATCAAGGAGCTTGGCACTCTGTTGCCAAAGGGAAGTGAGGCGTTCTATGAGGTTGTACGCGACATACGCCCCAATAAGGGAACAATTCTAAAGTCTTCGGTTGATTACATCAAATGCCTAAAGCATGAAGTCTCGCGTTTAAGGCAAAACGAAACCCGTCAACGCCAAATGGAGCTACAGAACAGAAAACTCATATCTCGCATACGGGTAAACAAATTTTCATCTATATCTTTGCATCAATATTGCTGTTAACATTCCAAACTCTCTTTTTTTTTATAATAGGAATTAGAATTGCAGGCAAAATCGCATGGCATTTCTCTCTCTGATTACAACCTGACATCTGTATCAGCTCCCACGCCACCCATCTCGTATCTTAAGTGCTCCAGCCCGTCACCAACAACTTCATCTGCTGGACATAATCATCAAACAGCGGCGTCCCTAATGGAGGATGTTATGGAGGACAAGGTAATAATAAATAGGAATTAATTAGATGTAATATAAAACTAAACTCAAGCTGGTGTTTATTCAGCTTCCGTTGATCAACAGTGATCCTCCAAGTATGGGCTTGAATCAACTCGATGAACTGATGGAAGATTGTAAACACCCGGTCCAGGGAGGTGATCCGATGTTGTCTTCACATAGTAGCCATTCGCCAGTTGCCACGCAACTTCAGAGCAATAGAGAGGCTGCCATTTATAGTACCACAGCAGCAGGTGGTGCGGATTTGAAGCGTACCGGCACCTGCACTGGCAGCAGCAGCCGTGGCGATAACAACAGCAGATTTTGTACCCATTCGGAGCACTCGCATTCGTATTCGCACCGAGGACAGGGGCATCAACATTTGCATTCACATCCCCATCATAGAGGCCATAACGAGCAGAGTTCGTCATTTGGCATGCTAAACAACGATTGCGATGGCTCTGGGCACGATCCGCTACTATCTTCATCACAGCAATCACATGGTGCTGTTGATGTAGACGATCATCATTCGGTGGACCTCTCTGCAGTGATGATAAACGATCATTCACTTTCTTCTTTAGTGGATGAGTCCCAAGGCGAACCCATGCTATTGGCACCCGATTCCTTAGATATTGACCTTTGAGAAAAGCAATGGAAATTAAATAAATTGCCAAGCATAGCAAACGTAGGCACAGTTCAAACAGTGGAGGAGTAGCTTAGTATTATTGCTTGCATTATAAAATGCTTGATTATATTTTGTAATAAGAAGTATTATTGAAAAATTTGTTATATAAATGCAATTGTTATATATGTTTTTTAATCAAAAAGCAATCAAACATGTGTGTACAATGTGTATATATGTTATGCAGTAAATATTCAAATTGTATGTGAGATTTGTATTTGCTACATACACATCAATGTTTTCGTGTCTCCAGCGTATATATATCTATATCTATACGAATGCATTCCGCTTGATTTTCCTGTACTTATTATTACTTACATTGGATATATAGAAAAATCACAAAATATTATAAGGGTAATATTTTTAACAGTTTTTATGTCGTATAGATTTTTTTTTTCTGATAATGTGCAATAATCATTTGATTGATATGTATCTACATTTATGTTTTATTGCTCACATACATCCACTCACTGTACATACACTTCTAGTTTTGATTGCTGCGAATCTTACTGTTTTTTGTTTGTATGCGTAATTTAAAATTGTTGATTAAAAACTGTTAAATACATATATAAAAATGAAACAAACCAATATTTGAATTCACAGGGTGTTCGGTTAAAAGAAAACATCGATTAAATTTAACTTATTATACACATACATTTATTTTTATAGAAGCTATTTAATAGTATATTTTTTTATGATTGAAGAGAAAAGACAATCTTAGCGCTTTCTTGGAAATTATTGTAGTTTGAGTCAATAATCATTTTTTGGCCAACTCGGCTGACAGCCAATCTAGTCCCTCGTACAAGCCGTGTCCTTGGGTGGCGCAAGTGGACTGAATAAACCACTAGAATATATAAAAATATAGTCAGCCTGCAGAAATTGCCATCTGATTAGATATGACATACATGACGGTTCCTCAATTGATTCAAATGTAACTTGTCAGTCAGTTCTGCTGCACTCATTGCATTGGGCAGGTCCTGTTTGTTTGCAAATACCAAAAGAACAGCATCCCTAAGTTCATCCTCTTGAAGCTTAAATATGAGTACACAAGCAGAAATTTCAATATTTGCATAAACACTACAAGATCAAATTAAATGTACCATATTTTGTAGTTCCTTTTCAGCCTCGGTTATTCGATCACGATCGTTCGAGTCGACAACAAAAATTAGGCCTTGTGTATTTTGAAAATAATGACGCCATAGTGGACGAATTTTGTCCTGGCCGCCGACGTCCCAAACAGTAAAGCATATATTTTTGTATTCTACCGTCTCCACATTGAATCCTATGGTAGGTATGGTTGTTACAATTTCGCCCAATTTCAATTTATACAATATGGTTGTCTTTCCGGCAGCGTCCAGGCCAACTGAGCATTCAAAAACGCAAAATAAAAAGATGTTAAAGTAAAAGTAGTCTATTTACTTATATGCGTGCCTCTGAGTATATATGCATGCATCAAAATATCAATTGCGTGAAATCAACATTCTATGTTCCGCATTTTGGCTGCGTGGCTAGAACTTTACCGTCTATTTAAGGTGTAATGTCATGACGTACTGGCGTGGCCACTTTACGCTGCCACCGACGCATCATATTGCTAGTCATGGATGCATCCAACACCTACCCATTAAAATTCGCATTTGTTTTTTGCCAAATAACCGCGTTAGTAAACTGGATATGGTCAGTCCCATTTTCTTGCCTGTTTTCTGTTCAAGCAAATAGAATCTATATTTTCACACAAATTTTAGTGACTTAAAATTGACGTGTAGCGATTGGAGATAAATTTTTATCGATAGTTTACTAAGCACTCTTAATATATTTCGAATGTGATCAACCGATAGTTTCTATATGAACTTTTTTTTTAAATACAATAAATATATTTATTATTTGTAATGAAGTTCAAGTTTTTTTAGTATTTATTTTAGATTTTATTTGGCACCAAAATTGACCGAATGCAATCTGAAAACATACCGTATAATCGGTCACCAAAAATTAAAATCCCAACCTAATTATCGAAAAGTCAACCTAGAGGGAAATTGTTTTGACGATTTTATTTTTCCTATTTCAAATATATTTATCTAACGGCACATATAATTTCAGTTTATATGCTATCGATTACATAAACAAAAATTGATTTTACAAAATTAATCATCTTAAAAAATCGCTGCACACATGTATTGTTTGAACAGTTTTTTGGTCATCCAATTTTTCCCAAAATGTTTTATCGTAGTCTGTAACATATTGTACCTGAAATATGTGGAGGTACCAAATTTGGTGGTAAGACTGAAGGACCGGCTTAAATAATGCTCTTTCTTTGTCAATGTGCATGTACGTGTGCAAGGTTTTAAGAAAACAGCTCATAGCTACAAAGAAACTTACATACATACATACGCATACATACGCTAATATCAACGCCTAACACCTAGTTGACAAAGCAGAGCTTGTCAGTTACCGACTCATGTCTACATCAACAATAACAACAAAAGCAGAAACAACTAAAGAAACTCGAAAATCCACAAGCACGATTTCGCTTATAAATAGTTGTGATACTGGTCGGTTAGTTTCAATTCGATGTTTACTTTCGCTTGAACCGGACTCGTTTCGGAATTGGTCGGCGTTCGGAATCGTCGATCTGAACTGAATTTCGTATTCATTGCTGTTGTTTCTCTTGTTGTTTGCCGTTCACGAAGAAAAGAGATAAACCGAACGAAAAATGAATAAGCTAATAACAGTTTTAGCTGGTTTCACCATGGCCTTTCTATTGGTACCTTCCATTGCCTTGGCGGATACCGAAAAAAACGTCTCGAATGATGAGCAAAAAGATGGTGAAATCAAAATTTACAAACGTCTGATTCCGGCCGATGTGCTTAGAGGTGAGTCATACATTTTTATTTATGTAATCTAAAAAGCTTTATATGTATACATTTATGTAGGTATATGCAGTAAAAACTTGATTGAACAAATGCTAGACAATTGCACAAAACTTAGAACTAGCCTTCCTGCTTGAGTGCCATTACTTCAATCGAGGCGTATTGGCTCGAAATTCTATTCTCGTCCATTTTTCTGAGCATAACTCGCTCTGCCCTGGGTGATAATAAAAGAGGCCGTCCTTTAACTTTAACCTTTAACCTTTAACCTTTAACTCAAGCCTATCCTCTTTTTTTGCACGGCTTAGTATATTACATACTGTTTTCCAAGAAATCAAAAACATTTGGCCAATCTCTGTGGCAGTTTTACCCGCCAAGAGGCATCCAAAGAATAAAACTGAGCTGAAAACCATTGTTTTGGAGGAATGGCAAAATATCCCAGTGGAATATGTAAGAAACCTGGTCCAATCGATGAATAGACGCTTGGGAGCAGTCATAGATGCCAACGGTGGCCAAAAAAAGTTTTAGTTTTAACTAGAAAGGAGTTAAAACACTATAATGAACTAATTGTTTTAGTTGTGTAAACACTTTCTTGTCAGCTGATTTTTGTTACTTCTTTTTTTTTGTTATTTTCTTTTGTTAATGGAAACATATTGTAATTTTTTTTACTTACTAATATAGTTTATAGTCTTATATACCTACTTTCATTTTTTAAAAATTGAATATGCATATTCTTACTGCTTTTATTTCGCTTCAAAGCTAAAAATTCAATACATTTGACAAAGCCATTATACCCTGATTTCCCATTGAAAATGGGTTCAGGGTATAAAAATTCAAAATAGCCATAACATTTAAAATTAATTTATATATTTATTATATTGGAATTTTGTAAGATTTTCCTGGGATGTGCTTTGCATCGACTCGGTGTGCCACTGTTGAGCCCGGAAAGACATGGGAGCTGACGCCATTTTGCGGTCGTTCCACGTGCGTGCAGAATGAAGAGGATTCATCAAAGTAAGAACTTTTAATGAATCAAAGTCCGTTTTCTCATAAAACATTCAACAATATTTACAGGTTATTGGAGCTTGTAGAAGATTGCGGGCCTTTGCCTTTATCGCTAGCAAATAATAAGTGTAAGCTGGACACCGAGAAGACCAACAAAACGGCACCATTTCCCTATTGCTGTCCGATTTTTACATGCGAGCCAGGCGTTAAGCTAGAGTATCCAGAAGTTGAAAAAGAAGAGGAAAAGAAGAATTAATCTCCCTATGTCGGTCGTTTTTCGATTATTATATTTTTTAAATATCTGTTATATCTGCTTTCTATATGTTTATAAATAAATTACTGTTCATTTATCTCGCGGAAAAATAAATAGTATATTTTGAATTCAAATGCTGTTATTTCATGTCATGTCATGTTCTAACATAAAAATTTTTTTTGCAATTTTAATATTTGAATTTGGCGCGTAAAGATTATGTAGTCTGGCAACGTAAACAACACGTACTGTGAACTACTCCTGCGTTGGCACTGATAAATTATTTGACAAAGTGCTGCCACCTTGTTCAAACGGAACGTCACTCAGCGCTACGATATATTATCGAGTTCCCTATCGCTTAAAACGTTAATTGTCGGTCAACGACAGGTTTGAATTTAAAGTTTTGACTCGAGTTACCAGTATAATAACAAATGTACAAATTTTATATTCCTTAAGCTCTTTGATGTAGGTTCGTATTCGAAGTGTGAAAGTTAATAATTCTTGATTACAGCTCTGACTTACACATTTAACCTTAATTTAAGAATGAAGTTAAATTATCGATTTTGATAGAGAAAAAGAAAATGTGATGAGCTTTCGAAATAAATGATAAGTTTCTTGTACGTATGGTGTGCAAGCGTACAGTATGAATTTAAAATTTCATATCTACAGTTATCATCGATACATATGTATGTATGAATATACCTACTTAGTGTAGGTACAAATATAGTTGCAGTAGTATAATATAATAGTAGATTCAATTTCTTATTTTGTTGAACAGGCATGTATACTTGCTTCATTTGTCTTTTTAATACAAGTGTTATTAATATAAAGTTGAAACTTAATGGCAAACCGTATGGATGAACTAAAATACGTGTTGTGTGAGTGATGCGATGTTTCGTATTCGCCATTTTGTTTGTATCATGAAACTCCTCCTATGCAACCTGTTTTACTTTTTGTCTGCTTTATAAATACGTAGATTGACTTTACAGATGTATTGAAAGCATATACAAACACATACATACGTATAGGCAAAAGAGAGCGTGACACACACAATCATGAGTGCACACACACAGCTTCATCTTTTGTAGCTTAGCGGCTCTTTCGATGGTATTAGTTTACCTTCGTAGGAGCATAAGCATAACTCTTTCCTTGTCTGATATACGCGTTTAAAAAGCAGAACTATGTACATATACATATATTAAATATACATATGTGTATATATGTATATATACATACATACATCTGTAACATTAAACAAAAAGAAACAATATATTATGTAATAACAGAGTCAAACAAGCAAATATCAAATTATTATACATACATAAGTACATCCAATTTAGTTTTAAAAAGCAAGCATTATTTTCTAGACATTTAGCACGTGTCATACACACTTACATATATAAAACACTCGCCGTAAGCGGGCAGCACAAACAAGCACGCATACAAAAGCTGAAATTAAAGCATACATATATACATATACATATATGTACGTGTCTGTACATTCATTTATACATATGTACATATGTACATACATATATACATATATACATATGTATACCGTCGTGTCTAAAATAAAGATTGAATGGACCGGTTTTCGGGCTTTTTTCTTTTTTATAGTTGAATACTTCATCGAGTATAAGGCAACAGAATGGAATGTCTTCATTAGTCGGCTACATTGTTGCTCGAATTGTTGGTTGTGGTTCGTCTTTAATACCCTTACCGAATATTTATCGATGTTAGCTACAAAGAGAATTGTTACCCGTCGACACTTGAAGTACGTACATATGTACATACATATATATTTAGCACACGCATATTATAAATTGCTACGACTTAGATTTTATATTTATTTGTTCTTTTGTATATGTACATAAATCGAATTATATTATTACTTAAATAGCAAGCCTACATTTTTATACTCTGAACCCATTTTCAATGGGAAATCAGAGTATAATGGTTTTGTTAAATGTATGTAACAGGCAGAAGGAGACCCCATAAAGTATATATATTCTTGATCAGAGCGACGAGCTGAGTCGATTTAGCTCTGTCCGTCTGTCCGTATGCATGAACGCGTCGATCTCAGAAGATATAAGAGCGAGAACTTGAAATTTCGATTTTTGTCAAAATTTACCCTCCACCCCTAATTCACCCCCTCACCCTCACATTTGTAAAAGGCGTATTTCAAATACTAGGGACTTGTGCTTTGACAAATACATGTATATCCTTGTTATAATCATAATCTGAAAGTTTCATGAAGAAAGTACATCCACAAGAAAAGTTATTGAACAATTAGTTTCCTATAGTAAGCCACCACTGCAGCCAATGCGTGTTTATACATGCGTGTCTGTGTGTGTAAGCGTGTGTGTGTGCGTGTGTGTATGCGTGTGTGTGAAAAATGATTGAAACAGCTATTGCTCGAAGGGTTCAGGAAATCTCGTAGTCGGGCAGTTTCGACTAGAGCTTTCTTGCTTGTTATACCCTGCACCCATTGAAAATGGGAAATCAGGGTATAATGGTTGTGTGAAAAGTATGTAAAAGGCAGAAGGAGGCGTGGCAGACCCCACAGAGTATATGTATGTATATGTATATATATGTATCAGGGTGATCAGGGTGACAAGCTGAGTCGACATAGCCCTGTCCGTGTCTCAGTCCATATGAACA